GGAACCGGTCTCCACATGGGATCTGAACCCTCAGCAGGAGCGCCGCCGCGCTCCCAAGCGGTGCACTCTCCAGTGTGCCACCGGGCCGACCCCTGATTTCAATTTCTATGTGCCATTTAGTATGTTACTTTATAGAATTTGGGGGTGGGGGGTGGCTGATGGGTATGGGTATCTGAACTCTTGACCTTGGTGTTATAACACTGCACCCTAACCAACTGAGCTAAGCAGCCAGCCCAGATTTTATTTTAATCCATTGAAAGTAGTGAGGCGCCTTGAGAAAATCTGTTCACATGTTTAATGCATAAGATCTTACCAAAAGAAGAATTATTATTGAATAATATATTCTATGTCCATTGAGTATTAATCTCTTCTCTCTTATTTTTAAATTTAGTTCTATCGTTTCCACCCTGCTAGCTCTTATGGATGGATTGGACAGCAGAGGAGAAATTGTGGTGATTGGTGCTACCAACAGACTGGATTCTATAGACCCTGCTTTACGAAGGCCTGGTCGCTTTGACAGGGAGTTCCTTTTTAGCCTACCTGATAAAGATGTAAGAATTTAACATCACTTAAATTTTGACAAAATATGTTGCTTTTTTATTATTAACAAGTCTTAGTATAGTAAAAAATTGAGGCTTCTTGAATTTTGTATCATAATCTTATCAGGTGATAGTTGATAGTGAAGAAGTAGGGGACAATTTTTTATTTTTTTCTTTAAATATAATAATGCCTCCCTAAAATTACTCTTACTATTCTTCCAATTTTTTTGTTTGTTTTTTTTTAAATTTTTAAAAATTTATTTTACATTCAAAGATGTTGAAGAGCAGTGGGAGGGGCAGGTAAGGGGGCAGAGAAATGAAGGTAGAGGTGGGGGGCCGGCTCCTTTGCTGGCCTGGTTGTGGAGAGTGTGGGCGTGGCTGAAGCACTCAGCTTCCCCTGCGCCAGCTCAGGAGCCTGGGGGGCTTCTAAGGGCAGGTAGGTCATCGTCAAGCTGGATGCCAACATCAGCTGGACATGGCTGAGGCCCTCAGCCCCCCACCCACCCTGGCTTGGGGGCTTGTGGGTCTTCTGGTGGCATATTCTTCCAATTCGAGTACAGATTTTGGATGTTGTCAGTTTTGCTTTAAAACATGCAGCTTAATGAACAATCAGTTCTTAGCCAATTTGTTAGCCTTGGCTTTTTGATGAATACCATCATATAATCCTACCCAGTTATTTTAAAGCCCCTTAATCTTTTAAGAATCAAGCAAGAAAATATGGGTAGAGCTATCAGTACTCTTAAAAAATAGGTCTTAATATTCACCAGAATGAACTACTTTAGTAATTTAATTTCTCTCATTTACAATTATGATACATATAACTTGAGTTCTATAAATGCAAATCTGTTTAACAGTGAAACTAAGTTTTTTTTTTTTTTTTGTCTTTCTTTTTTTTTTACTGACCGGTAACGAGATCGCAACCTTTGGTGTCGCGCCCGTACCAGGGACCGGCAACGGGATCACAACCCTCGGTGTTGCGCCCGC